AACATTTTTGCAGGGGCTGAAGTACGGATAGAGTTTCTCAGTGAAAGACTGACCAGTTAAAGAGTAGATATGAGACCTGACCTCAGCATCATAGAAGGAGACCAGACCCTCCTCATAATCCACAAATACCCCCACCTTCTGGGGAGCCTGTTACAGGGATAGACAAACACGAAGAGAGTCCAGTGTCCATCCTCAGGACTCAGTATAATCTGTCCCCTTCCTGTTGCTGGACTCTGTGGTCCCTCCTAGTGTCCAGTCAGTCTTCCCTCTGACCTGAACCTCATAGTAAAATCTCCCTGAGGAGAACGCCTCATCCCAGAACACAGACACAGCAATCAAACCTCTCTGGTTTGTCAGGGAGATTCTGTCGTTTGTCTCCATCTCTCACTTGTTTTCTATTAACAGACAGAATGAGCTGAATGAGCTGAATCAGGATCCACTGAGAGAAAAAACATAATTTAAGCCCATTTTAACAACAGTTAACAACACAGGGAATGTAATAGAGCAGAATCATACATTTAGTCATATAATCAGTGAGAGCGAACAAACCTGCACATTGCTGAATTCTCTTCAGTTCTGTTTGGAAAATATTATTGGACAAAATCATTCAATCAAATCATTCACATCAGATTTTTAATTTTTACTTAATAAAGTGTCTGTTTGGTATGAACCACAAAGCAGCACTGTAATATTAACACCAAATGACTTAGTGTAGTCATGAATATATAGAAGAGTTTTTAATAGATAATAATCCACAATCAAAATAGTTTAATGCCTCAGGTATCAAACTGAAACGATCTTACTGGCTTCCTGCAATCAAATTTTCTTCCTACAAACTGATTTCTGCTGAATTTCAAAGTGTCTAACTGATCAGTAAATACTTACTGATCTCAGGAATCTTCTCCATCTCCTTACTGAGCTCTTCCTGAAGCTGAGTCAGAGCTCTCCTCAGAGTCTCCACCCTCAGATGAGTGTTAATCCTGACGTCAGTCCAGTTCTTGGTGTGTGGAGGGCTGCAGAGGGACGGGTAAACCTACAGTCCAGCAGGAGAGAGGAGAAACCCCTCAGCATGGGGAGTGCTGTCCTGTGATGGACTGCATTACTATGGAGAAACAGAGGGACTCTGACCTGTAGGAGGTGGAGGTGGTCCTCAGTGTGGGAGAGCTGCTCCAGCTCAGTGTCTCTCCTCTTTAGCTCAGTGATTTCCTGCTCCAGCTCTTTAATGAACTCTTCAGCCTGCCTCTCTGCTGCTTTCTGCTTCTCCTCCATCACCTCAAGCAGCTCCGCCTGGCTTCTCTCAATGCAGCGCAGCAGAGCTCTGAAGACCTCCACACTGTCTGCTTTCTCCTTCTCTGTGCTTTTCTAACAGGAGACAATAATAATGACATTGTTAATAAAGCAGCTTTCATACATTAAAAGTACTCAAGTGCTTTACAATATAGGAATTAGCCTACAACAACAACAGAGGACAATGAGGAAAATGAAAACTTACACTATGAAAAAAGTGAGTAAACAGAGAACTTTAATTAGAAAGTAACCACTTAAATTGAAACATGCCAATAAAAAAACGAGAGAAAACAAAGCCAGGAGTCGACCACTTAGTATTGTGCAGTGTGAAGTAAAGCCTGACTTTAACAGTGTTTCAAAGGTCTATTACTTAAACTTCCATTGTAAAACTTAAAACTGAGGTTAGGGCCTAGAACATCAGCCAGGTCTTGCACTTCAGATTTAACATAATTGTCCACACATCTTAGTTCAATCTCAAATTTACAGTTTCGCCCCCAAAGACTTTCATGAAATTTCAACAGCATTCAGTAGCATGTAAAAGGAAAATAAAAGTGGCCCCAGGATAAACCCTTGAGGTACCCCACAGTAAATGGCACATCCTTCAGCTATGATTTCACCAAGTGTAACAAGATACAGTCTGTCAAGCACATATGTGTAAAACCACTTTAGAATATTTCCAGAGAGACCAGTCTAATTTTAAACAATATCATTTATAATTATTTACACTGTTAAATGCAGTATGTTCAAAAGGATAAGCATTGATACTGCAGTGTGTTTGAGAAGGATTTTTGTCATGTTAGTTGTGGGTTTTGTGTTTCCTGGCAATTATTCACTGGGCTCACTTTGCTAAAGACTCTTATTGTAGTTGGGCGGGGCTTGGAACCTCCCCAGAGGGTGTATACATGTGCAGAAGGAGAGAGAGGCAGATGTGAGCTGGGACAGAGGAAACCTTCACTCATGTCTGGCACAGCTGTGGCCAACAACAGCTGGAAAATGACTTGTGCAAAAAGCTGTGTCTGTTTTACTAGTGAGGAACACTTCAACACTGTGTTCTCATCACTAGTCTGTCTGTGGTCACTAGCAACATTTACCAAAGCTGTACTTGTACTATGACCTGATATAAATCCAGTTCAGACTCACTTTATTTTGTTCTACAGAGTGTTTGACTTCCTCAATCTTCTTCAGTCGATCATCTGCTGGACTTCAGCCTGTGACTTTCCCAGCTGAGTCTATAAAAAAGGACAAAATATAACAAAACCACTCATTCATTTCAGCAGAAACAACAAATAGGAGGTAAAATTCCTCTAAACGTCTCTCACCTTCTTCTCTCCACTCTCCTCCTCTATAGGAACAGTGCTGTGAGTCTTGTGGTCTGTCTCAGTGCAGAACCGACACAGGGGTCTCTCATGTTTCTGGCAGATGTAGTCCTCCAGGTTCTCCACAGGGTCCATCAGTTTTTGCTTCTTCAGTTTAGGTGTGGTTTTATGAAGCGCTAGATGAGTCTCACAGTAAGATACTCCACAGTCCAGACAGGATTTCAGAGCCTCCAGCTTTTCATCACTGCAGGAGTCACACATCACCCTTTTACGTTTGGAGGGTCGTTTCTCTGGAGCTCTGCTGGATTTGACCTGAACTGACTTCTTGAACTGAGCAGCCAGTCCAGAGATGAACGTGTTCACAGACAGTTCAGGCCTTTTGGAGAATTCCTCCTTACAAACTGGACACTGGCAGCGTGAACTGCTGTCCCAGCACTCTTTGTGACAGACCATGCAGAAGTTGTGTCCACATGGAGTAGAGACTGGATCAGTGAACACATCCAGACAGATAGAGCACCGGAGCTGATCTTCAGACAGGAGACTGCTGGAGGAAGACATGACTGACAGAGGAGACACAGAGACACCATGAGGGAGATTTGAGACCAAAGAATTCAATTCATATAAACTGTTGTGTTTTTTGACATTTCTATAAATCAATGTAAACAAAAAGGGGGTTTCTTAGGAAGTGTAGTCATCTAAAATCAGTCACATTAGTCTGACTGATCAGATTCACATTCTACCTGTTAATCATGAATCTGTAGCTGAACAAATGATCACAGCTTCAAATGTTCAATATAACAGACTTGCAGCATTTTAATAAAATTAAAGATAAATAATCTACAAAACACGAACAGCAGTGATGGTAGAAATGATCTGAACATCTGGATGTATTTTCAGTAACAGACAGTAAGAAACTTAGACTCATTACCACTTTCACTTTCTCTCCTTTGGTCTGCTTTTCTGCTTCTTCAGTTTATCTTTATCTGAGTTTCCTGAATGGAGAACCTTCAAACTGAAGATCGTGTCCAGTTGCAACGAACTTAATTCTGTTTATTAAACAGCTCCGCTTTACCTTCGTCTCTCCTGCGTGACGTCATGAGGCCACTCCCGCTTTATCATAACGGTAGTTTGTTGTACTTGCAGGTTTTGGCCAGCAGGTGGCGGATATTTCCTAACTGAATTACAGCATCTCAATGTGCTTTTTCTAAAATATATAAACAAATATGTAAATATATATAAATAAGTCATTGATCCATGGGAAAATATATCTAGATAATTAGGCACTACATAATTTAACAATTCTATAATATATTACACACTTCATGCTAGTTATGCTGGTTTGCTGAGTGTCTGATTTTAATCTCAAAATGTATGGAAAGTGAATAATCAAGTTTTTCCATAATACAGTAAAATTCTTTATTAATTCATCTGAAAATTCTTAAGTAAATACTTTATTTGTGATGTTGACAGGTCATGTTCAAGTTTCAGGATGCCCCCTAGCCACCTCCCAGTGGAGGTTTACCAGGCACGGCCTACTGGGACGAGACCCCAAGGGTGTCCTAGGACCCACTGGAGGGATTATATCGCCAAGTTGGCCTGGAAGCAGCTTGGGACCGCCCGGAATGAGCTGGAGGAAGTTGTGGGGGACAGCGTCGTCTGGGATTCTCTGCTCTCTGAACTGCTACCGTGACCCTGTCTGGATTAAGCAGTTTAAGATGATGATGATGATGATGGTGATGATGATGATGATGATGGCGATGATGGTGATGATGACTATGGTGGAGGTACACAAACTCAATTTCCTGTTTGCAAAATTCACAAATGATGGTTTAATGAATGCTGTCACAGATCAAACAACAGGCAGAAATGTTGTCTCTTTTATGCACTGTTTAGCCCACACAAGGCAGACTGTGGAAACAACAGATTGATAAAAGACGTATTGGATGCCTGCTGGACGCCCCGACCCAATACTGACCCCAGCTAGAACACTCTCAATGTTTTGTTCAACAGGAGGATGAAACACCATAATCTCCCAGCTTTAACTATAACCACAACATAACAAGTTTGGAAACATGGAGGAGACTCCAGAGAAAGTTCTAGTCTTACAGAATCTGATGGATCCAGCATGATAACACAGATTATCACAAAGCCTGAGTCATTTCAAACTGAACATGACAACGAGTTCAGGGAACTTCAGTGTCCTCCACAGATCTGAATCCAATAGAGCATCTTTAGGATGTGGCAGAACAGGAGATTCCAGCTCCTTCTTGAATCCCTGCCACATATAATTCAGGCTGTTCTGAGTGCAAAAGGAGTCCAACCCGGTATCAGCATGGTGTTCCTAGCATAGTGGCTGGACAGTGTTCATTAGTGCCTTGATTGTATGTTCCAAACAATAGAAACACCAACGGAACCTCAGAACCACAGAACAATCAGTGACTTTGTGAAGAGTTAGTTAGCTGGTACCAAAGATGCTAAATTCACTAAATTAAAGGTTTATTACATTAAATCTAGACGAGCAGAGTGTAAAATAAGCTTGACTTTGCTGTTTATCTGTGCTTTTCTGTGATGCTTACTATGTGGAACACAGTTATCTTGGCCAAGCTTTCAGTTCTCAGCACGCCAGCGTTTACTGTCTCCAGATACGGTTCTAAAAGGAGACACTCCATACGCCAATTCCTGATTCGACTCATTTCCAAAGCTAAAAGCAAATAAAAAAGAACGTCCGGTTTGGATTGGTCTGTGAGCCTCACCATCAGCTGAACACAAACACCTTAACCAAAGATGCCTCTGTGCTCAAAGGGGAGTCATTTCAACTACAGTTTCAGTGAAGTTTACATCATCTTTATACGCAGTTTGGGAAATTCAGTCCTGTGTTTCACTTTGCCGCTGTTGTGGTTTTGCACTCCTGCATGTTGCAGTAATCCCACTAAACTCGCTCTGACTGAATCTCTGAATCTCACTGATGGAGAAGATGATAAAGTTCACTTGTGAACGCATCACTGAATCAGATATTTGATTAAATGAAATGAAGAGTCTGAAACATCTGGATCAGTAAACTTAACTGTAAAATTACTGAAGTTTTGATGTTATTGGGTCACTGTGACTGTTCTGTACTGTTCACCTGATGAGTACTTGTTGAAGTCAGTGTGAAAAATGCTCACAGCACTGTAGTGAGCACAGTGAGGTAGTGCTGGGTGTGAATTCTCCACCACATATATAATACATAATGCAAATACACCTATTTACACATCTGCTGTTACTATTATAATGAACTTGACTCTGGGAGGATTCTGCACTGTTACATCAGGTCTTGCTGGACTGGACTTATTGTTTATGTCTTTGATTAAGGGGCCCAAAATGTCTGCGTTCAGAACTTTTGGCTGGGTTATGATCACAAAAACACTCTGTTACATTAATTATCCACAAAATGCCTCCCAGCTGCACTGAATGTAATCCTGCTTCTTTATCAGCTAATGCTTGTTATGAATGACTGCTTACTATAAATCATTCTGTGTCTACTATAAATTATTCAGTGTCTACTATAAATTATTCAGTGTCTACTATAAATTATTCAGCGTCTATTCTAATTTTTCAGTAATTGCTATAAACCTTCAACAATCAATTTAAATCGATCATTATCTACTATGAATTATTCAATGTCTCATATAAATCGTTTGGAATCTGCTGCATATTATTCAGTAACTAAGGGCCAAAATGCATAATCACAGAACTGTACGGTGGACAAACATGTCATGAATCTCATTATTAGATCCAAATCACAGGCCAGTATTTTTCACCAAGTTACTTTGATTCCTAAGGCAGTTTAGCAAACTTTTCTCCTCAGTTCACTTTTTCATTTTCTGATTTTTTATGAATGCAACAAAATTACACCAAACATCCAGACTGTGTTTATAATAACATCTCAGCACGTTCGAGAGAGTTTGCACAGTCAGGCATCTTCTCTGCTGCAGCAACGCTGGAAATAAACCAGCATTAAACTAAAACACGTTTCTTTAATTGATCACATCAAAAACTTTAAATGAGTTCAGTGAAGATAAGCGCTTAAGGTCCACTTGTATGTGATTAATCTCCATTCAGCTCATTTAAAAGTTTCTGAAAGTTTTGGATGTGATGAATTGAGGCTCAGCTAATGAAGCTGATGGGTTGAATCAGGTGGATTAGAGCAGCAGAGACATGAAATACTGCATTTCTGGATCTTTTGAAGATTGGAGGTAAAGAACGCTGCTAAAACCACACGTATATACAGTTTATACTGCTGCTGTCAGAACAAAACCTCGTATCTCAATTTTAGTCGTTTTTCAGCTTTCGATATAGTTTGAAGACGCCTGTTGGCCTTTACATTGTGTGTAAATTTCATGATGAATGGACCAAAAGAAATGACCCAAAATGACTTGGAGAAAATTCTGGTTCCATTGACTTACATTGAAAGTAAAGCAAGTTTTTTCCTTCTCCTGTAAAGTTGCCATTTTGGAGATACAAGGTTTTGTTCCGACAGCAGCGATATATATCTGGCCACATTATCACATTTCCTGATGTCAGTGTTCATATATAATGTGATGTATATGTGTATCTATCAGTCGATCTGTCTGTCTGTCTTATAGATGATAATATATAATGCAGTTTGTTTGGAAAATATATCTGTTTCATACAACACAGAATTACACTGAATTAACTTTGCACTGATTCTTCAGACTTTTCATGACCCTCTGTCTGTTACAGTGAACCCACCCATGGGGTTAACTGTAACCTTGCGCTTCCCATCATTTTTTAATTGTACTGAACGGTAGGAGCTAGAAACAAAGTTTAGGAGTTCGTTTGTAGCAGAGATGTGTGTGTTGCTTTCATAAAAATATGATTATTCTAACTTTTAATATTTTAAGTATCTTTTAGTGAGTTGTTGGTATCAAAAAGTCAAAAGAGCATTAGAAACATAATTTGTTATCACTATAACAGGTCTAAATATACTATACTATTATTATACAACAGTTAGTTCCAGCCACGCAAGCTGATTGGTTGAGAAGCGTTCTAACTGTGCTGTTATTTCACCATAACATCACAGTTTTTTAACAAACACTGTATCACTCCACTGAGATACTGTTGCTAAGCAACTACTTTGACAGCTGTAGGAGACGCTCAAGACATTTGAACGTTTTTTCTTCTTACTTTGCCACAAACAGAAAATGGACACTTTTAAGGTCACATTTGACCGACAGCCGATTTGGTCAGACTCTGAAGATGAGAAGACACTAAATTCCCAAACTGTCATCACCGCTGAGCAGCTTTTCAGTCGGCAGCTGTGACAGAAGAACCTAAACAACCTGGAATCAGCCAGAAATGAACCCAGTACCATTCGCCAAACATGTAGTCTGATCTTCAGAGTCTGACCAAATCGGACTGAGCCATAAAACTGCTGCAATATCAAGTTTAGCTCAGTTTTGTCAATTTTTGCCAGATCAGTATTAATGTTGTTTTGTTCCAGCCAGTCTGTAAAGCATCTTACAGCCCATTTAGTTTGGCGAATGGTGTTGGGTTCATTTCTGGCTGATTCCAGGTTGTTTAGGTTCTTCTGTCACAGCTGCCGACTGAAAAGCTGCTCAGTGGTGACGACAGTTTGGGAATTTAGTGTAAGGAGCTGGAGAACGAACTGCTGGCTCTGCAGCAAGTGGGCGGAGCTCGTTACTCTGACGTAGCAACGAGCTGCTCGTTAAGGAACTATAATTTGGCGGAAGGAACTGCAAACATTAAAACATATTAAACGCCGCGTTCACGGCCCAGTTTATTAATTTATTACTTTATTTATTTAACTGTTGTATAAAAGCAGTAGAACACTCGAGGTTGTATATTATGACCAATAACATCACGGCTGTGATGATCTACGGCACTCGCCTTCGGCCTTCGTTAAAAATTCGCTTATTGTTTAAACTAAGTACCTTTCATGTTTTCTTTCTTGCTGCCTCACTCACAAACATTAAAATCTGAGGAGATCATTAGTTTAATCATCCCTCAAAAGAGCTCAGTAACACTGAGATTAATAACTGATCACATTGATTTATCAGTCTACTCAGGCTTTAGCAGAGCTCAGTAACACTGAGATTAATCTTTATTTACCTTTATTACAGCATCCATTCTTTTCAGGAGACTCACTTTCAGTTCCTCAAAGAATCTGCAGACACACCTCCAAAGTTCAGTCTCAGAAGCTGGTTGATCATTTTCTGAAGTAATCAAACACATTCAGTGATGCTGATGTAACGAATTCTAGCTAGCAGTGAGCTGTTAGCTTGGTTAGAGCGGTGTAAATTAAAAGCGCTAACACAGTCGGCAATTTCTATCATTAACCTTGGGTTTAAATGAGTGAGCAAAACAAGAAACACCAAGATACTGTGGGCCAATCAGAACGATTCCAGGATCGCCTACGGAGCCGGGGCGACCCACTACCCAAGAGACGACGCTGCACCACTGCACTATGATTGGAGGTTTAGGGAAGCTTCCTTTTAGTAAAGAAACAGGTATTTAAAGAAATAAACAAAATTAAATAAAACAAACACACATTAAACAATTCAGTGTGAATCTGTGTGTGTGTGTGTGTGTGTGTGTGTGTGTGTGTGTGTGTGTGTGTGTGTGTGTGTGTGTGTGAGAGTTCCAGTCCGTGAAAAAGAAAGGGCCAGTATTCCTCCTACTGCTCTGGAGAGGCTTCAGTGCAAAGTTCAATAGAAAAGGGAGACTTCACAGCTTAAATGATGTCCACTGTGCTTGCGAACCACTTTTTAGGGTCAGCAAGATCCAACTTCAACTCCAGCAAAGAACCTGACCTACAATAAGGTCATAAATCACTGTTAGATTCGAGTTTCAAAGCCTCTGTAAACATCAACACAAACTTTAACCGAAGTAATTCACAAATAACTGCTCTTATTTACAGTATTTTCAGTTTCTACAGTGAAAATGAAGAAAACCGCCTCACGCAGCGCTGAAAGGATCAACTTCTGCAGCGCGAGCACAGGCTGCGACCACACGCGCCAGAAAACTCACATGAACTCCTTGAAAGTCGACAGATCTCTCAAATACAGCTCAGTCTCGGTTCACCGTCTCACTGCTACAGTTAGAAGAACACGTTCAAACGCATTTATACCGCTGGTGTTCAGCTCGCTGCATGTATGTCAATCTGAACTTAGCTTAGCATGACCGACTACAGCATCAGCAACGCGACACACTGAGCGATGCGAAAATCCAGCTTTGTGACCGTGAAGGTCGCCGGTTCGATCCCCTCAGCTGACAGCACGTGACCGAAGTGCCCTTGAGCAAGGCACCTAACCCCCAACTGCTCCCCGGGCGCCGTGGAAAGGGCTGCCCACCGCTCCGGGCAAGTGTGCTCACTGCCCCCTAGTGTGTGTGTGTGTGTGTTCACTAGTGTGTTTGTGGTGTTTCACTGCACGGGTGGGTTAAATGCGGAGGTCTAATTCCGATGTGTTCAGACACAGTTGGCTAAAAAAGGTTCATTTCATTCATTCTTAGTGATCAGAGTGTCTTTGTGTGTTTATTTGATTTGTCTTTTTTTTTAGGAGGGAGTTTTTTTTATTTTCTCAATTTTTGCTCCATCCTCTAGCTCGGTCTCCCTCAATCACATGAAAAATAAGACATATTTTTATTCCATATTTTACTTTGAAAGGTTATGTAAGCATTAATTTAAAAACTTTATAAACCTCTGCTTATAGTAAATTCAGACGAGAAGAATTCAAGAAGAACAAATTTTATTTTATAAACTTTTCAAAGGTGACGAAAGTTGTCTTAAAGTTGTCAGTGAGCAGAAACTCCCCTAATTCATATTATGTGGTAAATATTGGGGTGAACTGAGTGATTAAACAGCACTTCACTATAATTTAGCACATTGGGGCCACTTGACTGTAGCTTCTCCCTCACTGGTCAGCAGTGAGAGTAACAGATGTAGAATGTTGTTTGAAGTTGTGCTCTGACGTCATAATGGACTAAAGGCTACAGGGTGTGATGTCATAAAGGTGATGCAGATAAGTTCCGTCACACGGCTGTTTCACAACATTCCGTGTGGAGCCGCGAAGAGATCAGCTGCTACAATGAGCTGCCTCTGGTTCTTGTGCTGCCGAGTCCATGAGGACTCGGACACAGACAGCGAGAGAAAGGAGGAGCGGCAGAGTGAGAAGAAAAAGAAAGGAAAGAAGAAGAGGAGCGAAAGGAAATGGAAAATTCAGTGGAAAAAAGAAAGGAAGAACAACAAAGAGGAAGAAGTAGAAAAAGAAAAGAGGCAAACAAACCAGCAGCCAGTAAATGTGGAGGAGGAGGCCGATGTTCTGGACCAGCCAGTAGGCCTCGTGTCCGGCAGCCTTCAAAGCGTTTCGGCTGAGACGCTGAAGAACACGGCACCTCCACAACAGCAGAACCTCACTGAAGAGGAAGGTGAAGCCAAAGAACATCCAATGAAAACGCTGCTGGATGAGGTTGAGACACAGATGGAGCAGCTTCTGAGTGAGTTAATGAGATAATATTCATAACAGACACTAAATAAAAGTAGTGATAACCAAATATTCATAATAGATACAGATTAATTCATAGCAGATACTAAAAAATTCATAAGAGATGCTGAATAAATCATAGGGGATGTTGAACAAATCATGGTAAGTACTGAATAATTCAAAGTGGATACTGAATAATTTACAGTGGACAATGAATAATTCATAGTAGTCACTAAATATTCATAGTAGATACTGAAAAATTCATAGTAGTCAGCAAATATTCATAGTAAACACTGTAAAATTCATAGTGGGTACTGAATAATTCATAGCTGTCATTAAATATTCAAAGTAGAGACTGAATAAATAATTGCAGATACTAAATGATGTATAATGAAGACTGAAAAGTTCATAGTAATCACTAAATATTAATAGTAGATACTAAATAATCCACCATGGATACTGAATATTCATAGTGGACAGTACACAATTCATAGTGGATGCTGAATAATTCATAGTGCATACGGAATAATTTATAGTAATTACATAATAATTTATAATAGACACTAAAATTCAAAATAATCATGAAACGTTCATAACAGGAACTGAATAATTCTCTATACTCACATAATGATTCATAGTAAATACTGAATTCATATGAGATATGGAAAAATTCATATTTCATACTGAATAATTTGGAAAAAGTACTGAATATTTCAGAGTAATAACTGGAAAATACATCTTAAGAGGGTGTTTTTGAAATCATTTTCCAAACTGAATAATATTCAGTGTTCGTTACAACGGACTGTATTTTTATGAAAACAGAAGCTGAGACATTGAAGATGACGGTGGCTGATGAAGCGGCGGCTGAAGCCACCAATGAAATCATGAGCATCTGTCTAGAGGGCTCTGAGGAGCAACCTCTGGAGAAACATCTGGGTAAGTAAAGAAAATGACCAGATAGTTAGATAATAATAACACATTTAGTCTATATTAAAACTTAATATGATCTCTAATCTGTCTGAATTCCCTCAAGATCATCCAGTGAGCACCAACGATGATGCAGCTAAAGCCATCAGAGAGCTCCTGGAGGTCCTGTTTGATGATGCTCTGACGGCGAGTGTCCAGCCTCTGGGTGAGTAACGGAAATAAACATATTACAATGAGAATGAAAGAGCTGGAAAACTGACCATATTTATTTGTATTAAAGCAGAAAATGAGATGATGATGATGGCTGACGAAGCGGAGGCTGAAGCCATCAAAGCACTCATGGACATCAACCTTGACGAGACTGAGGAGGAAACACTGGAGAAACATCTGGGTAAGTAAAGGAAATGAACAGATAGTGAGATGATAGTAACATATTTAGTGTATATAAAAGCAGGAATTCAGCTAATATGAGATCTAATCTGAATTCATTCAAGATCATCTAGTGAGCACCAATGATGATGCTGTTAAAGCCATCAGAGAGCTCCTGGAGATCCTATTTGATGATGCGCTATCAGCGAGTGTCCAGCCTCTGGGTGAGTAAAAGACATAAAAAATATTAATGAAAAATGAATAAACTGGAAAACTGACTGTATTTTTATGAAAGCAGAAAATGAGACAGTGATGACGATGGAGGATGATGTAGCTCAGGCAGAAGCCACAGATGAGCCCATCAACCTGGACCACGCTGAGCCATACGATGACCGATCTTTTGGTGAGTAAAAGAAATGGTCAGTGGAAATATTTCAGGAATGAAATCAGCTGGAAAACTGATCAAATTTATTGATGTGAATGCAGAGAATCAGATGACGAGGGATTGGATGATTTTGGCAACTAAATCCCTTAAAGCCCTCATAGGCATCCCCCTGGAGACCATTGAGGAGGAACCTGAGGAGGAACCTGAGGAGAAACAGCTGGGTAAGTAAAGACATGAACTAATGTCATAAAGAAAATACATTTAATTAATGTTAAAGTAGGAATTCTAATTAGTTTTAATTCATTAATTTAAGATAATCTGGTGAGCAACACTGAACACAAAACAGGAACCAGTGAGCTCCAGGAGATCCAGCTGGAGGAAGACGTTCCAGCGAGTGTCCAGCCTCTGGGTGAGTAAAGGACATAAAAAATAATAATGAAAAATTAATAAACTGGAAAACTGACTGTATTTTTATGAAAGCAGAAAAAGAGACAGTGATGACGATGGAGGATGATGTAGCTCAGGCAGAAGCCATAGATGAGCCCATCAACTTGGACCACGCTGAGCCATGCGATGACCGATCTTTTGGTAAGTAATGGAAATGGTCAGTGGAAATATTTCAGGAATGAAATCAGCTGGAAAACTGATCAAATTTATTGATGAATGCAGAGAATCAGATGACGAGGGATTGGATGATTTTGGCAACTAAATCCCTCAAAGCCCTCATAGGCATCCCCCTGGAGACCATTGAGGAGGAACCTGAGGAGGAACCTCTGGGTGAGTAAATGAAATAAATCTCAGACTCTGGAGTCGGAACACAACGGAACATCTGTTCTCACCAAATATAATGGCATGGATGTACGGTTCTAGGAAAAGGCCTCAATTTGTATAGGACTGTTACATGATATGGAGATGCTCTGATCAGTAAAAAGGCTCTTTACACTGAAGCCACCAAAGACACAGTAACTGTCTACCTGGATGAGACTGAAACTACGGAGAACCTTCTGAGTGAGTGACAGAAAGAACTGTAAAACATTCTGATGATGACTAGAACAGTTCTGGTGTGGCTCTGGTTTTGATGGATACTTGATAGGGTACTTTAGGTGGTTATGAGGTGGTGGCTAATTTGTTTCTAGGTAGTTTTATGATATTGTAGCATGTTCTAGAAATGTTCTGCATGTTTTTTCTGGGTTATTGTTCTCCTACAGTTATTCTCTGAGTTTTTTCTGACAAAGACTCTTAATGTGAAGGTGGGGCTGGTTCACCTTTGGGGGTTTGTGTGTCAGATCAGACAGGAACTGGGTGTCAGTCGGAGTTGAGTGCTGATAGAGTGCAGAAGTGAGCTGAATGTAGAGCTGTTAGCTAACGGCTTGTGCATCAGCCGTGTGTCCTTCAATAGCATTAAACATTACAGTATTTTAAACGGTTGCTATGGTGTTGCTATGGGGTTGCTAAAGTATCCAAAATAGTTCATAGGATGTTACTTTTTGGTTTTCGTGTTTTGGTCATTGCTATGGAGTGGCTAGGTCGTTGCTATGTTATCCCAGATGGTTGCCAGACTGCTGTTCATTGGTTAATGTTATTCACAATAAATGTAAATATAACATTTAGATAAACTGATTTGAAATATGTTGGAACTTAAATGCTGGCTACTATTTCTGTGCTCCAGGACAGACTATCAGAGAAAGGCTTGGTTACTGATTTATCTAATTTTGTTCTCTAGCTGAAATGGATGTAAAGAACAGCGACCCTCCTGAGGAAGTAGCTGAGACCAAAAAGAGAAAAACCAGGAGAGGAACAAGAGGAAAAGGACGGAAAATCAACTATAATAAAGACCAACGTCCACCAAATGACAAACAAGATGAAGCCAAGAATGAGAGCAGAGAATCTGCACATAGAGGAGGAGCAGAGGGGCTCAAAAGAGAACAGGTACAGGTACAGCTTTTAGTCCTGGTCATGGTCCCTAAACTGTTATTCTTTTAGTCTTAGTTATGGTCCCTAATCTGCGGATCATGTAGATCTTGTCATGGTCACTACACTGTTGATTTTTTAGTCCTAGTCTTAGTCCCAAAACTGTGGATATTTTAGTCCTAGTCATGCTCCCTAAACTATGGTTATTTTAGTTCTAGTAATGGTTCCAAAACTATGGATCTTTTAGTCCGAGTCTTGGTCCCTAATCTGTGGATCTTCTAGTCCTAGTGATTAATCTGTGGATCTTTTAGTCCTAGTCATGGTCACTAAACTATTAAGCATGTTTCTTTTTATAGAGAACCCAACAAGTCTTTGTTCCGAGAGGTTCTTCTGGACAGAACTGCAGTGATGAACGCAGGCAGGTTGTCCATCCCAGACGGGAGCAGGAAGAGCGGGATAGCGGATATAATGCAGTCCCGTACACCTTGACCTTCTGGAGGACAGGATGGAGAGAGGGAAGAACGACAGAAGGTTCTAGAGTGGAGTCCACTCCTCAACAGCAGAGAACAACAGAGAGACACGAGGAGACAAGAGAACTTCTTCATTGGAAAACAGAACAGGTACAGCTTTTAGTCCTAGTCATGGTCCCTAAACTGTTATTCTTTTAGTCCTAGTCATGGTCCCTAATCTGTGGATCTTTTAGTCCTAGTCACAGTCACTAAACTTTTCAACGTTTTTTTTTTATAGAGAACCCAACAAGTCTTTGTTCCGAGAGGTTCTTCTGGACAGAACTGCAGTGATGAACGCAGGCAGGTTGTCCATCCCAGACGGGAGCAGGAAGAGCGGGATAGCGGATATAATGCAGTCCCGTACACCTTGACCTTCTGGAGGACAGGATGGAGAGAGGGAAGAACGACAGAAGGTTCTAGAGTGGAGTCCACGACAGAGAGACACGAGGAGACAAGAGAACATCCTCATTGGAAAACAGAACAGGTACAGGTACAGCTTTTAGTCCTAGTCTATGGTCCCTAATCTGTGGATCTTTTAGTCCTAGTCTTGGTCCCTAATCTGTGGATCTTTTAGTCCTATTCATGGTCCCTAAACTGAGGTTCTTCTGGACAGAACTGCAGTGATGAATGCAGGCAGGTGGTCAGTCCCAGACGGGGGCAGGAAGAGTTGGATAGTGGATATAATGCCCTCCCATACACCTTGATAGTCTGGGGGACAAGATGGAGAGAATGGGGTCCATTCCACAAAAGAGAGAGAGGAACGTGAGTTCACCCTAAACAGCCACACACACACACACACACACACACACACACACACACACACACACACACACACACACACACACACCACACACACACACACACACACACCGACCACCCCACCCACACACACACACACACCCACAGACCACCCAAACACACACACACCGACCCCCAAACACACGCACACCCACACCACCCAAACACACACACACACCCACTGACCCCCCCACACACACACCCCCACACACCACCCACACACACACACACCGAACCCCCCACCCACACACACCCACACACACCATCCAAACACACACACAACGACCCCCTCACCCACCCACACACACACCCACCCACCCACCCACCCACACACACACACCAACCAAACACACACACACCCACACCCACCCACACACCACATAAACACACACACCGAACCCCCCACCCACACAAACACCGACCCCCTCACCCACACACCCACCCACACACCCCCCAAACACACACACACACCGACCCCCCACCCACACACACCCACCCACACACCACATAAACACATCGAACCCCCCACCCACACACACCACCCACACACACACACCGACCCCCTCACCCACCCACACACCACCCAAACACACACACACACCGACCCCCTCACCCACCCACACACCACCCAAACACACACACACCGACCCCCCACCCACACACACACCCACCCACACACACACACCACACCCCCCCACCCACACACACCCACACACCCCCACATACACACTCACACAGAACAAAAAAATGACACACATACACAAAAACTGACACACAAACACATTTAAAATGTTTGCTATCCGGTGTCGCCCAGAGGAGGATGGGTTCCCCTTCTGAGTCTTGGTTCCTCTCAAGGTTTCTTCCTGTTGCTCTTAGGGAGTTTTTCCTTGCCACTGTCGCCACTGGCTTGCTCATGGGGGCTCGGACCCGGATTTCTTTCTGTAATGCTGATTTTTCTGTAAAGCTTTCTTTAAAGAAGACATTGCACACACACACACACACACACACACACACACACACACACACACACACACACACACACACAAAAAAGCATCAATAAAAAATAAAAAATTAAAAATATCTTGCAGCCTCTTTATTCTTTATTGTTTCTATAATCCATTTTTCAGACATTTTACTGAATAACCTACTGAGAGAACACAGGGTTTATTAGAGGTGTGATTTATCTAAAGGGTCCATATCATAGAAAAGCTTTTTCCTCACTTTTGAAAAATAAATTTGTTTGATGTTGTTTATAAACACTGCTGCAGTTTCAAACGTCCAGCAGTCCAAACAGTCGGCAGCAGTTTAGCCCCACCCATTCAAAACTGAATTGAACCAATCACAACAGAGATATATATATTAAATTTATAGCGTAATGTTGATGGAACACAAAAGCTGGAACTTGTAAGTGGGGAAGCGCAGCGCCTGGACAGTCTGTGGCAGCACATAACAAAAACACCACTGGATGAGTGAGAAATCTGACCGGCTCCCTCTGTATTAAAGCCAGGTTAGGTCAGGAGTCTCAACCCAAATGATAAGAAGAGCCATTTTGTCCTTTCAGCAAAAATCGAACCACCTTGGGAGCCACAACATTTAATGTCCCGTATGTGTCAGTGTGTGTGAATGTCCTAGTATAAGTTAGGTTAAACAATATAAACGAAAACGCGGACTTACTTTGCTCTGCTTTAAGCTTTAGCTTTAGCCGCTTTCCTCCAATTTCCGCCAGAAGACTTTTCTTCAGAAGTTGATCAGTTTCTTGTAAAATGTCTCTCAACGTTCAACTGTTTTACGAGGCTGAAGTCGCTTCTCATTCTACAGCTTCTTGTTCGAATTTTCCACCTTGTTCCAAAGAGAAGCGACTTCAGCTTCGCAACTTTTTAGTGTTTGACAGTCTCTCGTTGCAGATTTAACGTACCAGGAAACCAACTGTGCTGCTTATGAATGTGAATAACGCATCGTTGCTATGTGACCTGCAGTCTGCAAACCAATTCTCAGTCGTTGAGAAACAGGGCTTTAACGCTATGTTGCACATCCCGTCTCGAAGATATTTTACTGACACAGAGATCCCCCTCCTCTCTACAACAAGACCCAAACCGAAGTTATGAAGTCACTAAAGAAAGCGAGTAGAATAGCTGTAACGTGCTGTGTGGACACCCATTGCCACTGGATCTTATTTCACCGTAACTGCGCATTTCATCACAAATGAGTGGCAGCAGCGTCTCATGTGCTCCAAACAAGAGTATTGAATGAGAGCCTTCTAGTTCACTTGCCACATCACTTCCATTTATTAATAAAAGATATTGGAAGTAAATTCATTATGGATCACAGTCCTGACACAGTGAGAAAATAGAAATCCTGTATAGAAAAAAAAAGATGCATCGATAATCGTTTTATAATCGCATCACAGCCTCTGAATCATAATCGAATCGAATAATTGTGAGGTGCCTAGAGATTCACACCCCTAATATAAACATACACACACACACACATATATATATATGTGCGTATATATGTATATAAACTGTTACTAAAGGGTTCTTTGGATGGTGAACAGGTTCTTCAGATTGATGGAGAATGTGTTGTATGTGGTTCTATAGAGCACCAAAAAGCAGTCTGCTACTGTTATGATGTCAAACTTGTATACAATTGCAGAACGCTTTCTGGTGCTACTTAGAACCACTTACAACAATGAAAGGGTTCTTAAAAGAACCTTACACATGTTCTCCTTTAATCTGAAGAACGATTTCATCCCTAAATGGTTCACTGCATGATGAAATGGTTCTTCAGATTAATGGAGAACGTGTTGTTCTCCTTTACATGGTTCTAGATAGCACCAAAAAGGGTTCTGCTAGTGTGTTGGACTTGTTGCACACGTGGCATCCTATCATGGTACCACACTGGAATTCACTGAGCTCCTGAGAGCGACACATTCTTTCACTAATGTTTGTAGAAGCAGTCTGCAGGCCTGGGTGCTTGGTTTTATACACCTGTGGCCTTGGAAGAGATTAGAACACCTGAATTCAGTGATTTGGATGGGAGAGTGAATACTTATATATAGTGTATTTTCGGGGCGACAGTACAAGTTTTCTGTCATAATAAAGTGAGTTTATGGGGACAATCAACCTCATTTCTAATGCATAACAGGGAAGATGAGTTTCTCAGTGCAAGACTGACCAATGAAAGATCAGATATGAGAACTGGCCTCAGCATCATAGAAGGAGACCAGACCCTTAATGATGCTTCACAATTACCTCTAATAATGGCTATTCATATATGACTTGATCCTTATTAATATATATGCTTCATTATATACTGATTAAGAATTAGTCTATCTATTACTTCATTTTGATTAAAGCATGATAAAAAATGTTCATACTTGCTGATTTGTAGACCAGTATTGTAAAGTTTTACCAACAATTATATTAAAAAAACATCTGTTCTTCAGATTACACTCATTTACTTGTTTGTACAAAGATTCCAGACACATTTCCCAGGTTATATTGATTTTTAACAAACTAAGCTGAAGGTCTGCACTGAAAAGAAAACCAATATAATATATAATATAATATAATATGATATAATATAATGTGATTTTGTATAATTTGATATAAAGAAGAATTGTTTGTTGTATGTTAAGAACTGAATGAATGTGAATTAGAGCAGCTGTGGTACAGAGTGAGGTAGTGATGTCATGGGTTTTAGCTCTGAGCTGAGGAGTCAGAGAAGTCAAAGCACAAACCACATCTGAACACCTGTTACTTCACACAAACATGATTAAAGCTGCAGAACTGAGTGAAACACACTTTTCTAAACACTGTAAACTTCCTCATATTTATCTGTCTGACTCTCAGGAGCTTCACTGCACTGATAAGAAGTGTTACTGTGCATTAGTGTCTTTGATTTACTGTCCCAAACCACAGAACCACTAAAAGAACCACAGAATCAATAAAGAAACCACAGAACCACTAAAAGAAACACAGAATCACGAAAGGAACCACAGAACCAATAAAGGAACCACAGAACCAATAAAGGAACCACAGAACCACTACAGGAACCCCAGAACCAATAAAAGAACCACAAAGGAACCACAGAACCAGGCTGAAACTCAGAGTTGAAGATATGGGTTTTAATATTCAAAATAACTTGTGTGTTACAGTTTTTTTTAACCACAGTCCAAAACTAGACACTGTGTTCAACAGCTGGATGAAACACCATCATCTCCCAGTCTCAGACAGCTTTAACTGGAACTGCACAGCTGAAGACTGGAAATATGGAGGAGACTCCAGAGAAAGTTCTAGTCTGACAGAATCAGCAGAACTTCTCAGGATGATCGTTTAACTCAGAGCTTCATGATGTAACTGTGAGCAGTAAATAATTCAACATTTTTAAACCTAAAAGTATTTTCTGATAATTTAATGGAAACTTGATACTTTCATGCTTTAAATCATTAGAAATGAAGATGAACAACATGAACATACAGTTTAAGTCTGAAAATTAGTTTAATTTTATTAATTAAATATTTGAACATGATTCATTTTATTCATTTTTCTTGCATTTACAGTACATTTCTGAAATATATTGCTTGCTTCATTTTTAAAATGTATTAATTTTTGCTATATTTCTATTTTTTTATGTGATTTGAAATATGACACCTCAAAAGTCAGATTTTCTGACTTAAAAAGGTTTATGATGTTCTCATTTATGATGTTTAACAGGTGTGATGATCAGTGGTGCTGAGTTTTTACCTTCATCATTGTTAGAGGGGTTGAAGTATGGATAGAGTTTCTCAGTGAAAGACTGACCAGTGAAAGAATAGATATGAGACCTGACCTCAACATCATAGAAGGAGACCAGACCCTCCTCATAATCCACAAACATTCCCACCTTCTGGGGAGCCTGTTTCAGGGAGAGGAGGACAGAAGGAGAGTCCAGAGCTTTATATTCAGTCTCATTTCTCAGCCACACAGTCCAGTATCCAAACTCAGGTCTGGCTGTAATCTTCCCTTTCCTGTTACTGGACTCTGTGGTGACTCC